ATTATTTTTTTAAGCATTTGCTAGGCTGAGGTAAAACTTGGAAGGTGGCGGAATCGATAGGCTGTTTTTAGACTACCTGTACTGGCGGAATCAATGCTACATTGGCGGAATTGATAAGTCCCCAAAATATTTACTTACTAGGTACCAATTTTTTCCCGGGCTCAACCTACCTACTACCTACCTGTTTTTCCCGGGACTCAATTTACCACTTTCAAAATGTAACAAACTTATCTCGGACTCAATTTACCTAGTCCYATATASTATATAGGTATCGCAGTATATAATATAATACCTACCTATGTAGATATGCGTATGTAAAACCAGACGTAAAATATTCGCATTATTATAATATAGGTAACTTAATAATTAAACCTATCATAAAATCATGGGGAGCTTTTTTTTTAAATGTATGCTTATTGCTTTAATTGTTTATTATCACAGTATAATAGCTGTTTATTAACATAATACTTATTAGATTAGAAAAACATATTAACTGGCATTGGTAATAAATTAAATTCTTAGTTAGGTATTATAGAAAAAATGAGTAGGTAGCTTGGTACCTATACTGTATCGGTAGGTACTTAAAACATATATACGAATTAGTTAGGTAGGTACCTAATATATAAATATTACAAGAAAGGGAAYACTATTCAAAATAAATATTATAGACTTCCATATTGATTAAGAAARGCTCAAAGCACAGATATATTTAAAATAAATGCTAGATACAAGTTAAAATATTTTCATTAGGGCATGTAGACAAAATGTTAGGTTCTATTTTTGTGTTTTCCTTTTCAGCCAATGTTTACAGCTCCCCCTTTTGACCAAAACTTACCGGTATCTTTTTGGTCAGTACAGTTTTCTTCAAAACGTTTATATTTGATTAAATAATTAAATACAAAAATTGTTAACTTCAGTTGCTATAGTTGTAAATGTCACTGTATCTCCTGAGATAAATAAACGGGATGGACAATTAAGTAGATAACTAAAATAAAAAAACTAAAAGCAAGGTGAAAATATAGGAGAATTAAACCATATAAAAAAAAAATAAGTCATTAAAATGTGCTTTAGCCAACAAAGTTTGTTATCCAGAAGAGAAGTGATTCTAACATATTATGCATATAGCTACAAATTCATGAGTCATGACCTATCAAATGGAAAAATTCAAGGATGAAAAATGTATGGTGAGGAGTTTTAAAAAAGTGGATGTAAATTATGTTTTATAGAAATAGAATTTTCAGTAGCTTTGTAACCTATGTAAGAAATATCATGTAAAGCAACTAGCAACCAAAAAAAATATAGAATCCACAATCAAATTTAGAGCTTTGATCACAGATTAAAAATAATTATAAAAATTTAAGTGGCTATCATATTCTTTGTATAAAAGTTTTGCTAGAAATAAGAAATTTAGAATACATAAATCATCTTTCTCTTAGTTGTTAGGTATATGCCATAAGGAAATCACCATTGATTTTATATATAAGGTAATTAATATATGGTATGTACCTGTATACTATATTATAATTAAATGTACTTCCATATTGATAATTTAATCTTAATTGTATATGTGTTACATGTATTTAAAATTAGTATTTGGGTTGATTTAATCGTATTACGATTTATTTTTTTTTTTTTGTTATGTTCTTTTTTATTTTCTTATAGGTAGTTTTTAATTGTTATCATAATGTAGTGTCGTTTAAGTCTAAAATTATATGTATGGTACAGTAACAAATGGTTGCCTAATTACTACTWTATTAAGATAAATATTATAAAATAGTTTTTGTTCTAATTCTAATTAGGTAATAAAAATCCACCATCGCCTGTTGTATAGTTTAGACAGTTTAGTACCTTGTACCTGCATACAATTTAAACTGTCATTCACATAATGTTTAAAAGATATTGTAATTATTATATTACTTACAAGGTTATAAGCTATAGTAGTAAAATTACAATGATAATATATATAAATTGATTATTTATTAAATATTAAATTTAAAAATATTCATTAATTAGTTTATGTTATACATCAATTACAAACATAGGAAGTTATTACTAAAGTAGGTTTAGAAAAAAAAA